TGTGTAGGCAGCCTTAGGACACAGAGACATACCATGAGAACATGTATGTTAGGGGTATATACAATGGAGTCAAACTTAAATATAAATTTATATAATTAAAAAATTAGATTTAAGAATGAGTAGATTATTCAGATCTAACTCTATGGCTAGCTTATCTAGTTCTTCAATTAGTACTATACCTAATATAGTAAATGAGGACGAAGAAGAACACCATAAGTCACAAGTTGACTAGAGTGGATGGAATATCCCAAAGGTATCCCATCAAAATATCTATAAGACGAGTTGGGTTCCAAAAGCATTCAACTCAGAACTTCAAGTAAAAACAATTGAACAAGTTTATGCTCTTAGTAAAGAGGAAGAAACTTGTCAATTAATTATGAAAAAAGCCCTACAAAAATATAGGAAAAAAGTTTTTAATTTTATACCCCTGGTTTAGTTCAAGTAGCAATTAAACCATTGATGTCACCAGGCAAAGATGCAGCAACTCTATTAACCCTAAGAGATGCCAGATTCATAGAATATGAACCTAGCATTTTAGAGATAATAGAGACTGGTCTTCATAACGGACCAGTTTATTTCAACTACTTTCCAGACTTTACCCTTAGTCTTAATTGTAAAAACACACCTATGGCTTTAACCTTAGGTATAAAATTGTCAGGTCAGATTAACAAACTGGTAAATGAGACTCAATTTCTAGTACTTATCTATAGGATATACTATAAATGCATGACTACAAACCTGAATGTGCATGCACTTAAGAAGCATCCTAAAGATAAAATAGTTATCATCCAAGCCAATACTAGTGATTCTAACACCCAAGTCCCCAAAAAACTTGAATGGAAGAATGTTCAACTCCTAGAATCTTGGACAGTTGAAAATGAAAATTATAATAAGGATAGTGAAAATACATCGACTAACCTAGAAAACATCCAACAGTTATCTGATGGTTAGTAAGAATCTCCTTTGATTCTGCAAGATCCAATAGATTGAGCAGATCATTTGATAAGCCTGTCCAAATTAATGAAGACAGAAAATTTGATGTTTATTCTAACTTCTTCAAAAGAGACAAAGAATTAACAGAAGAAATAGAAAGAAAAATTAAATTAAAAGGAATCGATAATTCCACACCACAAATTAGTAGACCGTGTTACACTCCACATCAGAGTGTTCCACAAACTAGTTGTTGGAATGAAGAAGAAGAAGATGACTTCACTCCTTCACCTACAGCCAGTGACCTCCAGAGCACTGCCCCAATAGATCACCAGTTACTCGTGATTAGGAAAGAAAATGGATTATTCTTACCTAACATGATTAAACTGAAAAAATATTTTAATTCTGTTGAGAATGAATCTAAAAGATAAAAATATTTTAAAAGATTCGCTCACACTCAACATAAAGAAATAATTGCACAATGGGTAAAAGTAATGCACAAAATAGAATCAAAAATTCTATTTTTTGATTATTTAGAAACCCATCATCCAGAAGTAAAAGTATTAACAAAACATAAATGGAAGACACTAGATAATTCTATAAAAACATCTAGCCATCCTCCAGCAGAAACTATTTTAGTTGATCATTGAAATTCAGAGATAAAGGCTTCTCCCTTTAAGAAACCTACTAATAAATCTGACACAAAGATGATTGAACAAAATAATTCACAAACCAAAACTTAATAACTATTGGAAAATAGCTTGATAAAATTGAATCTAAAATCGATGAAATCAAGCCATCCAGTAAAAAATTGGAGAAACCTTTAATTCATCTCCCTGAAGATAGATCCGGATTAGGTTTAAAAGATAAGCAAGCAATCCAAAAGATTAAAGAACTTATCTCTAAACAAGAATCCAAATCTGGATCATCTCAAGTAACAGTTATCAACCAAACTTTTAATAATTCAGAAACCAGTAGCTCAAAAAGCCTACCTGATTCTGAAATTTAGAAATTAGAAGAACAGTTTGATAACCTCAAGATTAACAAATTAACTTTTTCAAAAGTTAATCTAACTAGTATTACAAAAAATTGGTCTACCAAACCAACACCACCAGATCTTCAATTTGAAAAGAAAAATATTAGTAATCAGTTTTATGTTCAATCTAATAAACTCTATGAATGGAACATAGATGGATTAAGTGAATAGAAAATCCTTAACAAAATTAGTCACCTTTCCATGGTAGCCAATAGCTATGTCTCAAATCTTAATCTATCAGAACCATAATTAGTTGACATGATCACCTCTAATTTCACAAGAGTATTAAGTAATTGGTGGACTAATTACCTTACCCAAGAGTTAAGAGATGGCATCAAACATGCTGTTGTCCTTGATGATGAAGACATACTATTTTCAATGAAAGAATTGGTAAAGCCAAAGATGATGGAATTAATACCCTCATCTTCACCATAATCAAACATTTTGTTGGCACGCCTAATAACATTGAAGCTAGAGTCCATAACCAACTTAGTAACCTTAGGTGCCCGACACTTAGTGACCTATGGTGATCTTGTTAGTACGAAGGCCTCAGGATATGTATTGACATGAAGATCCAACACCAATTAAAAAATGAAAAGAAAAAGACTAAATATGAAATGGATAATTTCTGTGAACAATATGGTCTTCTATCAGTAGCACCATCCCGTAGGAAAGCCAAATCACACAAGCCTTATATTCATTCTAAAACCCACTATAAACGTAGTAAAAAGGCTTTTAGGAGCCCCACTTACTATGCTGAATATAGCAAAAAACCCAAAAAAACTTATAAGAAAAAATCCGGGAAAAAAGCTAAAACAGATTCAGACATTAAATGCTATAACTGTGGTAAGAAAGGCCATAAAAGCCCAGATTACCCAGTTAAAAAACAAGTTAAAAGATTAAATTTAACCCAAGAAGATGAAGAGAAGATTCTCAACATTTTTAGGTTAAACAATCTTCCCAATAGTGAAGAAAGGTCAGACGACTCAAGCAGCTCTGAAAGTTCTTCAAAATATCATTTAGCATTTAGCAACTCTAGTGAACCCAAAATCAAATTAGGTTACAAAGATAGTTGCCTCTGTAAAACTATTAGGGTAATAATCAAACAGAATGAGGAAGAATACATTCTTATTGACTTAATCAGTAAGATTGAAAACCCAGATTTAAAGGTCAAATATATCAAAAAATTAAAAGATTTATTTGCTAAAAAAGACACAAAATAATCTTTTAATCAAAGACAGTTAATAAGTATAAACACCACAATGGAAAGATTCAATAAGGAGAAAAAGAAAGAAATCACCTTACAAGATCTCCAAAGTGAAGTTAATCAAATAAAATCTGAAATAAGAGAATTAAAAGCTCAAAACAAGAAACTTGCAGAAACTTTAACTCTTTTATCAACAGATAGTCTTGCCGACACAAAGAAATTCAATCCTGGAAAACAGTCAATAGTTGAAGAACAATCAGAGACAGAATCTCATAATGGAACAGACTTTCAAGGGATACCCATAACCTCCACCTTTCTAGTGGATCCTTTGGGTGTAACGAACCTGCCATCTCACGATGGATGTTTCCAGGCTAATGATGATCATAGGATCAATCTAGTTAATAAAATTAATTTTCAAAAATGTCATTCTAAAGTAAAAATCATCATTGATAATGATTTTGATGTTTTCTATTTTACTAACATTTATTTGTAGGTACAAAGTCTCATGGATATGCAAATGGAAATGAAAAATTATTGGTTATAATGTCGCTAGGCAATTTTATATTAAATGGTGGCTCAGGTTCCAAGAAGAACCAATAGTTAACCTGGTAAAACAGGAGTTCCCAGTCAAGGTTCCAATCCCAGCAATGATTCCGGCAAACCTAACTCCAGTTAAATAGGTTATGCATTCTCTCAGGATTTCTGCTCCAGAAGAGTCCAGAAAATCCATTAAGGAAAGACCCAAGCAAAGGAAATCCTCCTTTAAGGATTCCAAGAAACAATCCAAAAAGAAGTCTGTTGCCCTCATTGAACTAACATAACAACTTCTTTAACAAGCAGCCAGTGAGAACAGTTCATCAGTATCCTCATTGGCATCAATCACTCCTACATTGGATCTCTTCCAAGACAGTCAGGACCCATATACAGGATATGATGATCTGATAGATATATCTATCCCATAATGGTACTTATCAATACGTGTGATAGCTTCAATCACTACTTTCTTCTTTAAAGAAAGAAAAGCTGTTTATTATATGTATCGATGAAGAATCATTTGGTTCAACGGCCCTTTCTCTAAAAGCAGCCGCTAGTCCTTGTCCAAGATCTACTTTCCACTGAAAGTAGATTCCTTCAGACAACCGCAGGACCCACCTGCCACTCAAATTAACATTTACCTTAGTAAAATCAATTCACCTCTACTTTCTCATCGAAAGGCTAAGGTGAAAATACTTTATCCAAGTTAAAACAGTCACTAAACACAATGGAGTAATCATTCCAGAGATTTTTTTAGAATTCCTTATCCCTATATAAAGATTTCAATCTTTACTATCTCGATAGAAGTTGCTTTAAACTTCAGAGTTGTAATCTGAAAACTCTCCTAAGTCTTCCCTATACACAACTCACTAGTCTCATACACTATTCTCATATTGTAAGAAGCCTTCATCATGATGCAAATGAATAGCCTCTCACTCTTATCCCCTTACTCCTACTTGCTCATTAGTGCTAGTATTGTAAGTATTTATTTCTGTTATTGTAATTTGTATCTTGTTCATCTAAATAAGATTTTATAAAGAATTTTCTTTTAAAACACTCTATATATTTACAGCTTGTGATTCTTCTAAATCATGTTTTTTGTTATTCCGCACTTGTTCCTAGATAGCCATCCATGTATATATATATGTATAATCGACCGTTTTCAACAACTCCGTTTCAACCCTATTGTGAAAGAAACAAACACTACCATCACACAGAACACAAAGCTACAAACCAAACTGTTCTTCTTCTTTTTCTTCACATTTCTAACTCTTCAAACTAATTTTCTCTCTCTTATTCCCCCATTTCCTCAGCTAAATCTGAAGCATTCGACTTCGCTGACAAGATATCCACACACTGTCTCAGACTCAACACCTCCAACACAGCCTTCAACATCTTCGACCTCACACAATTTGCCATTTTCATCACTCTTTCCAACCCACCCAACAACCCCTTCAACGCCCCCTCCACCAACCCATCCATCTGAGTCGTCGCCAAGTCACCGCCCTTGATTCGGCTTGCCAGCCTCGCCAAGTCCACCATCCTCCTGTTTTCATCGCCACCTGTTGCATTTCCATCTCTCCCTCCACCTTCTCCTCCTCAACCCTAATCTTCCCTCTCAAAACTTAAATTTTCTTCAACTGGTCCTCCGACATATGTTTGCGAGACTCACACCGGGTGAACGTGTCACCCGAACAGCGTCGACCAGTCGAAACACCATTGATGGCTTCCAACCAGTTATCCATAGATAAGCATTCTCTAGAGGGCTGAACCAGACTGCTGAAAAGCTGGCTAAGACGTCTTCATGAACCGCAGCCCATTTGGTTGTGTAGCAGTCTTTGTGGTGGGCAGTGACTTTCTCCACCAAAGCTTCATGGTTTACTGATTCATGAGAGTGATCGTCTGAGACATTCAGAAGAAGTTGAAGATATTCTTCAAGTTGACATACCCATTTTCGAAGAAGTCTGAGAACTCCTCTACAACTTCTGTTTTCATCTTTAGAGAGAAAGAATGGACAAAAGAGTGAGATTTCAATATGAGACAGAACATGACACCATGATGTGGTATATATGAAAAGAGTAATGTTAAGTGGATTTAAAAATTAGATTTGATAATTTTAATCATTGAATAGGTAGTGGGTCCTAATAAATGTCGGGATCTACAGTGAAATCAATGGTTGGAATTATCAAGTCTATTTTTTAAGTTCATGTAACATTAATCAGATGAGACTATGATGGGGTATATATACACACAACATATATGGGGTGAAGTGCAATGACGCCCCTTGTAGTTTTAGCCAATTTCACTGTTCCCCTATTGTATTTAAAATTATACTTAACTCCTTAGGATATGATAACATATAACAGGTTTTGTCTTCAGTCAAATGTGATCAATCTAAAATTTTAAACTCCCTATCTTGTAGTAATGTTAGATTAACTAAAAACGGGAATAAAAAATAGGATTTGAATGATGTGTCATCGGTGTTTTTTATCCCATTTTATTTATTTAATATTTAAGATTTATTTATCATATCAATTACCTTGTATTTCAAGACTAGACGGTCAATCCGTCAATATGACTTGAAAAACCCATTTTGACTATTGTATTTTAAAAGAGCAATGTTACATGAACTTAAATGTTGATTTGATTAGTCACTATCATTGATTTAACTATAAATTTCAGTATTTATTAGAACTCACTATCTATTTAATTAATATGATTGATCAAGTCAATATTTTAAATCTAAATAATATTTTTCATTTTAAAATTAAATTGACAAATTCTAGATTCTAATGGGGGAAACATCGCAATTGTAAGGATAAATGATTTAGTATAATTTAGAAAGAGTAATGCCATTGTGATTTAAAAAATTAATTTAATTTATTAACTTAATGATATAATAGTAATGTGGTCCAATAAAACTATTGTGACGGAACTATTAGACTTTTTTATTGGACATTATTAAGTCAATTTTTTTAGGTACCAATAATATTAATCATCTAAAAGACAAGAAACTTTTTTGAATGTGTTTAATTAACCACATGATACAGAGGGTATGCAATAAAATTGTTAGAAACTAGGAGGGTTGTCATTATAATTACCCCTTAAACATTTACATAATTTTTATGTATGAATATATACGGCTTATGTGTTCATTGTATCTTTGTAAGTGTGTAAGTGTGACCAGAGGGAGGGCGGAGACAAGGGCCATGCGGCGCGTGGCCTTTGCATGTCTTACTTGCAGCTCTCAGCCGCATGTCTATGTGTTTAGGGTGTTTTTGGGTAAAAAAATTGGGCTGGATTTCTTTTTTTATATCTTAATCTATTCAAGTTAAATCTACTCATCTACTTTAAAACTCATCTAAGCTATATATGTAATCCTAACCTTTATTTGGGAAACAAAGATGTAATTCAATGATCCCATAGGTTGCTCAAATAATTTTATAATAATTTATCATTTTACCCATGACTTTATCCATTTCAATTCAAACCGATCCAATTCTAAGTTTTTTATATTTTTTATTTTTTTAAAAAAATAAAATTTTATTTATTAACAAAGCAATATTTACGAGAAGCAAAAGAAAGGCGCAGATGCCTTAACAAAAAAACCTAAAGCAACCTAAGGCACAGACGCCTTCCATAACAAGAAAAAACAGAAGTCCATAGAAACCAGTCAAAAAAGACTTCGGCAGCATCCTCCAAAAACTTTAACAGCAACAAAGTTTGCTAAAACCCATCAAGACAGCAGTAGCATTTCCCATTCCAGACTTAAGCCTCAAGTCTGCTTCAAACAAATCAACACTACTGTTAAGACAACAACATGGTAGATAGATTGAGACAAAAAGCCCCAATCTAACACTCATAAGCCCAGTTAAAAGATGCGGAATCTTCCTCAATATTTTCAAGAAAAGCCATGGACACTCACAAAGACCCAAAACTGCATTCACAATAATTAAAGAGTCACATTCAATTATTAGGCTTCAACATTTCTTGCATTCAAGTGCCTTTGAAGTTGAATGCAAGAACATACTCACAAACCATTCAGAACATACTCAATTCAAATAGTATTCAATTCAGAACCTCGACTTCAACCCGACAAAATAAGAACATAACAGCATCTTTCCTTTGCAAAAGGTTAAAAGAACCTGAAAGAAATTAGAGGGTGAAGCAGTAATTAAGAAGTAGAAAGGGCGCAATAAAGCAAGCTGCCTGTCCCTAAACAAAGACAAATTGCATTGCCGCGGATTCCAGGACAGCCACCGTTTGGACCTTGACATTAGAAGCACGTGCTACCAACTTCAAAGGGGCTTGAATGCAAGAAATGTTCAAGCAATTGAGCCTCTACACATCACTGCCGAAGAGAGAGAGAGAACAGAACTCAGCTTTCCATTCAATTCAAGCTTATTCCACAGAGGAGAGAGAGAGAGAGAGAGAAAGAGAGGGGGAAAGCACGCACACACACACTCACACTCTTCCGCCATGGCAGCTCGGAAAAGAGCTTCAGGAGACAACATCAACTCCACCAAACCACCGCCATCAGACTCAAACCAACCCAAATCCAAACCCCAAGAAACCATCTCAACAGACCCACCAATCCTGCAGACCTCAGGAAGCTCTAGAGGATCAAGAGGCTTAGGACCCATGACACAAAACAGAGTATCCCTCCAATTAGCATACCTTGACTGATACAGATCGAAAGAGAGAGAGAGAGAGAGACCTATTCGTCGAAGAGGGGGAACACATGTGCTACTGACCTTCGTCGGAGAACAGACAGAGCGAGAGACCTGCGAGAAGCTTCCCCTTCACCTTCATCGTCGCCGTTGCTTGGGTGCTTCTCAGCCAAGGATCCCAACGAATGGTTGGATGAAGTGAAAAAGGTAGGAAAGTTTGGCTATGCAGGGTAAAAATGTCATTGCGTCTCTTATTCACTTGGCAAGCTTTGTAACCCATGAAAGGGACAGGTTACATTTAACCCGTGTAGCTTGGACAAAAAATACTGTAATATTCGGGTCATAGTTTGACCCGGATTTTTATCCTCACCCCTTTTCCTTCCCAAACAAGTATTTTGTGAACCCATGATCTTATTTGCCTATTAGTGTTAATCCACTTTATTCTTCGTACCAAACACATCCTTAAGATTTGCGACGCTTGGAGTGTGCGTGAGACCTAAATCTCTCTTTCTCTCCCTCTACTTTTGGCTGAGCTGAAGAGGCAGGAGCAGAAGTATCTAACTCATGTGGTCTTTGTGTTGACAGGTGTCACGATGTGAGAGAATCTGTGTTAACACGTGGAGGCATACGTAGATGTTGTTCATGCTTTGTAATATGGCTAAGTTGTATTGCAATGAAGCTCTCTAATGGGACCCAATTCAATTCCAACTCTAATTCAACAGGAAAAAATAGTATTAAGGATGAAAAGTTTCAATTTTAATTGAATTTTGATAAAAAAAAAAATGGGTTCACAGGTTAAACTCAAACCCAATCCAAATTCATAAATTCGGGCTCAACCCAAGTTCATTCCAAATTCATGTATTATATTTATATAAATAATATAAAATAAAATATAAATACATATGTTTGTAATTATTATTATTTAAATAGGAAGTAAAACATGATTTATAAGGACTATAGATAATAAAAGAAGATTACACACCTGTTGTGAGATAAGTAAAAAAGGCAAAAGAAATTCAAGGAGTTGTCATCCTACATCAGACAGACAACTCATGTAACCTCTCCCCAGTATAAAGAAAGTCCATCCTTAGTCCTTACACTCTTAATAAGTTGACTTAATGAGTTTCATTTTAGTGGACCATATAGGCCTACTAGTCATTGCCCGTGCCTAAAAGTACTATATTACTTATAAAATTTTAACACATAAAAATAGAATGTTTGAATAATTTCAACACATAGCGATTAGATTGGTTTTGAACATTTTTTGTTGATGTAATTGGTATCTTATTTTTTTTGTATTGGTCACTTATTTGTTTTTTTAATTGCTTATTAACTTGGTTTTTGAATTTTTTTTAAATTTTCTGAGAATTATAGGTTTTCATACATTAATGATTTATTTTTTGTATAAATAATAACTTGATAATTTTATTTATGGATTATAAAGATAATTTAAACTTCATTGATTGATATGAAGTAAGAAGTAAACATCAATTATCGGTACTAAAATGCGCGATAAGAAGATCTACTTACAGTATACTCTAGGTATGAATTAGTTTGTAATAAGAATGATGAAAAATTATATAGTAAGTATATAATTATTTTTAATGAAATATTTTACCAAAAGTTTTGAAAAAATCAATATACTAAATAACTTACATATCCAAAAATGGTGACATTATCCATTTGGGTATTGATTTTTGTGTTGTAGTGACGGTGTGTATGCAGTTATTGAGCTCAAATATTAAACTGTTAAACTTTGAAAAAAAAAAGCAATAAACTTAAAAATATTATGTATTTTATGTGTGTTTAATAGAAATATTTTTAATTTTATGCAAAGTTTTATCGTAAAATTAGAAATTAAACAAAACCAACGTAAATCAAGGTACAAACAATACACTTTTAACATATAACATTTAATAACAATCAGTTAATGACAATATATCTACAACTAAACCACACGAACATTAAAAATTAAAAACAATAAACTATTGTCAAAGCATAAACCACTAAACCAACACAAAAAAATCATCAATATTCATAAACACACATAAATGTCAAACATTTGCTACTTGCACAATTATAAAAATTAAACATAAAATATTTGATAACTACCCACATAATCAGTTTGTCATCCTCCATAAAGCACACACCTCCAAAATTCCAACCAATAGGAATTGAGTATTTAAGCCTCACATGAGGCTAAACTCCACTTATACAATTTATGCTAGAAAGTAAATAAAGATAACAGAATTGGTTATAAGCAATTGGTAATTCTAGCATTAGTTATAAATATAGACCCCACACATGATCTAATAAATGTGTCAAAAATGCTTTAAAGTTATATGAAGAAGAAGAATTTTCAGAAAAGTTCTGGGGTTATAATATTATTTTTGAAACTTAAGGAATAATAATGTTGTTTCTAAAAATTAAGGGGTAAAAATATAAATACACTAAAATTATGGGGGTGTAAATGAAATTTGAGATTGTCTTCCTTGGTTTCTTTCCGGCCGACGAGAAGCCATTGTTGATAATTTTAAGATGTGCATTTTTTGTTTAATTTATCCACTTGGACTATTATTTTGAATTGTTATCACTAAAAATTCATCAATATAATTCAATTGTGGGTGGATGGTGGCTGGGGGCGATGGCGGTGGAGGTGGAGGTGGAGTGGATGAGAGGCGGTGGCTTACATCACTTGGGCTATGGGCGATATCTATACATCAATTTCACACCTATTATTATATCAGTCAAGTTGCTACACCATCAAACAAATTACTTTATGATTGGCCAGAACCCAAATGGGGTGGTAGTATTTTTTGTCACTATTTCTTCTTATTTTATTGATTTATGCGAGACTGATGGAACTTGTAACGTTTGTTTCAATTGCATGGTAATTGTACCAGTGTCTATATACACACATTCACACTTACCAGAGATGGAGATTACTAGTGAGAGTACTTTCGGAGATTAGATCACTGCCAATACAATTTGGATGGAAGAGAGTGGATGGTCGGAGTGGGTAAGTCCAGTGGGTCTTTAGATTTTGTCATGCGTCGCTAAAGAAAGTCTGTCCATCGTTAGAGTCTGCACTGAGAGATGAGAGATTGAGGAGGATGACAAAGATTTCTAAAAAACTAAGAGAGGTGAGACAGTTAATGAGAAAAATAAAAAGAGTTTGGGTCATGTGTTAGACAAAATGGATAGCATGTGGGTGTAATTAAATTGGGTAGGATTCAGAGGTGAAGCCACCCTTGGACTAGGGTGGGCACATGCCCCCCTCAAATTTTTTTTTTTGACATTAGATATATATTTTTTTAAATAAAATTTAGATATATTTAATTGTGTCCAACCTCAATTTTTTTTACAATAAATATATATTTTTTAAAATAAATGTTGACATATTTAATTATGTCCACCTTATTATTATATTACTGTGATATCGATTAAGATAGACAACTACTTAAATAATAATTAATTTTTAAATAATGTTATTGTAACTAATACATTATGATATTAAATATAATAGTGAGTCCCTACATTTAATAACATCTGCTATCCATCCAATTGTCACAACCTATTGGGTTCCTGCCAATTAAATGTTGAATTTTTTTTTTGTCAAGATATAAAATTAAATTTCGAATTGGATGCAATTACTATTATTCTTAAATTTTAGACACAGACTTGTTCGAATAAATTTTAGACATATTGCATTCATTTTTGTAAATTATATGATTATTTTATTATTTTATAGAAATGAGCGTTATAATGTAATAAATTATAGAGTAATAAATAAAAGACTGTCATTACCATTTTTGTATATAGGAAAAAAGTATTTATTGATATTATTGATTTGTAATTCTTTTACATGATAAATAATAATCAGATTTAATTGTAAATTGATAATAATTAGTCTCATACAAAGTTTTAATTAATTTACTTTTATTTTTTGTTTGTTCATTCCATGGAAATCATTTTTTAACCTTTTATGTTTAATGATTTTTTACGCATATGAATTTATGAACTTCCATGGTCAATTGAAAAAAAAAATGAAAAATACTATTTATATCTAATTTGATGACATAATTCAATGCACCATTTGATTGAAAGTAGACTTCTTCTAACGTAGAAATTTACAACTAAAATAACAGTTACATTAAATTAAGTCATTGGTAATATTGATAAAAAAATAATTAAAATTTATTAATGTACCCTAAAGTATTTTTCTAGCTCCGCCCCTAGTGGGATTTTATTTTTGTGTGGGATATGTTGTGAGCCATTGGATTAAGTTTGATGAAATTTAGATCATTTAATTTAAAATGAATTCATTCTGAGTTGTTATTGTGCTTTTTCAAATTTACGATAGAGATGTATGACAGATATGAGTTTAAAGTCTTACGACAAGAGGTTTCTTCATGGGCGAGAAAAGAAATTCAGGACTAATTGTAGACCGTTAGTTCAAAATTTTTGAGATGATCTGAACTGTTTTTTATGTTATGATTACGTTGTCTGTTGGATGTATTTATATTTTGTCTCAAAACGATATAGACCTCTCTTTATCTTTTGAATTCAAATTTCGTTCTACTTTATTATGTAGACGTAATAATCCAGTATTATGCAAAGACTCATACCTAATTTAACATTATTATTTGTTAAACTTGAATTGCCAATCCGAATTAGACTCAAATCGGATAACTCGATTTCAATACAAGCTTGCTCGAAATTAACTTGGGCAATACTCAGTTTGAATATCACGGCTTAGGATTAGAGCTAAAGTTGAAAATATTGTACCTAGGATTGGGTTATGGTTGATCCTTCAACCCGTCCAAGTTACACTCCTAAAAATTAATATCATTTCTACATAATACTTGACAAACTTGATAGATAAGCAGCACACAAGAATCATCTTAACATAAAAATCCAAGATGACTTTAATAGAATTCACAAAAACACAATTATTTTGTGACTAAATTATA